CAAATACTGTCATAATTCTCACCCTTCAAATGCTTCTTGGTAAAAAGAAGATTCCCTGAATTGGAAAGTGATTTGCGACATCAAAGATGAGATGGAGTCTCATATAGAGTGGAAAATTGGCAAAGGAGAGGTCTCCTTCTGGTATGATAAGTGGTGCTCATGGGGGCCTATCTACAAGCACATGCCAGTGGATTTTACCCCTCCAGACGTAAACCTTAGAGAAGTCCTCAATAGAAGAACTTGGAATTGGGATATCTTCACCTCCCAGCCTACTAATGAGATCAAGGACAAACTCTACTCCATAGGTATTACGTTAGATGAAAACAAGAAGGACAGGGCCATCTGGAATCTATCCAACTCAGGGAAATTCTCCTCTGCGTCTACCTGGGATAGCTTAAGGCAAAAAAAAGAAGTCAACAACTTCTATGGCAAACTTTGGAGAAAAGAAATTCCTTTTAAAATGGCTTTTCTAGTGTGGAGAGCCGTTAATAATAAGCTCTCAACTGATGATCGAGTGGCACGGATGGGCATTACCCTTGAACCCAAATGTTACTATTGCACTACTTCTCATGCTAGAAGAGATTTAGAAGATGTGCAACACCTCTTTTGTGAAGGTGACTTCGCAAAGAGTATCTGGAGACACTTTGCTGGTCCGTTGGGCATAGAAATCAATGAAAATAATCTCAAAATGATTCTCCTTAGCTGGTGGAATTACAAATCTATCAATCCTATCTTCGACTACATTGTTAAAATTCTTCCTCAAGTTATTTGTTGGGAACTTTGGAAAACGAGATGTTGTAATAAGTTTGAAGGAGCTAGACCCTCTAAATACAGAACCAACTCTAATATTGTTAATTTCATTTTGCAGGTGACCCAGAAACAATTCAATAAAATAAATATTCGGGGAACCTGGATGAGCATATGCAAAGCTAGTGAAGCAAATATCCAACAAATGACTAGCATACCGATAACATGGATCAAACCCCCTCCGCTATGAGTAAAACTAAACAGTGATGGTAGTTGCTCTAATGGTCAAAGTGGAGGTGGGGGAATAATAAGAGACCAAGAGGGAGACTTCATCTTTGCCTACTTCATCCCCTTGGGCAATGGCACGAGCAATACGGCGGAAGCAGAAGCATTACTTTATGGTCTTCAATGGTGCGCTAGAAAAGGCATGTAGATGGCCATTGGAGAAACAGACTCCCTACTTTTATCCAAAACTGTAAAAAGAGAGTGGAAACCCCCTTGGAAAATCAGCAACCAGGTACAGGAGATTCAAAAGATGATTGAGGACCATAATTTTAGTATCGTCCACTGTTTTAGAGAGGCTAACAAGCCAGCTGATGCATTAGCCTCGCTAAGTCACAGAATTGAGGAAATCAAGGTCTTCACCCTATTCTCTAATCTCCCCAGCAACATTCGAGGGCTAATCAATATGGACAAATGGAGTCTCCCATCCTTTAGACAAATTAAAATTAAACCTTCTCATTTTGTGTATGATCCACCTTGAATTGTGTCTATAATTTTCTTATTTTGTTAGTCTCTTGAGCTCTAGTCTCTTATCAATGATCATGTACAAAGTTTGGAATGCCAAACTCAAAATTGTAACTTTTTGCACATCAATGATCAAATGAGACTTAATTTTAAAAAATAAAAAAAGATGAAATTTAATTTTTGAATTTTTTGGTTTTTACACTATAAGATTTTGAATTCTTGACAATAATTTGGAATGGAATAACCTAATTTATGGGATCTTAATTTGATTTTCAGCTTCTTTTTTTTCCCTTAATTAGTGCAACAAATGGATACTATGAGATCTTAATTTGATTTTTCAGCTTTTTTCCCTTAATAAGTGCAACAAATTGATACGTAATGTATCAACAATAATGTATTCGGTCCTTAATTATGTATTCGAAATGCCTAAAAAATATGGGATTTCTGTAATTACAAAAATAATAGGGATAGAAGGTAATTTAGATTTTACACTATGGTATTTATGTAAGTTATAATACTTTTTTAAAACCACATGACCTTTTCAAATTAAATTTGTTAACAAAAAAAAAAAGAAAATATGCATTGTTTATTAAATGAAATTAATATATATGCATCATTTCTTCAACGAGTCATATTCACTCTTAATTTTAAAATTGAGGGTCAATTTTCTGGATGGACACATTCACTAGTAGTACATTAAATTCAGCAATGGCAACTATGAAAATAGAAATGGAAATGTTATTGTTTTCTAAAGTCCTTGCACGAAATTTACATGGAAATTTCATATGAAAGCTACAACACACAAATATGTCCTTTTGCTTTGAATTTTCATCCTAATGTTTACTCATTAAGTGAACATACATACCTTTACTACAAAAAAAGAGTCAAAGCATCGTGTGTTGATTATAGACATAATATTTTACGGGACAATAACAATATATTTAGTGAAATTCCACTACAAATCAAAAGAGATTGCATATTAATTAGTATCATATCGATCACATTCATATAGACATGTAAGGAAAATCTTAGAACCAAACCAAATTGGAAGCTATATGATAGAATAAAATTTTAGATTAGCTTGTACAAGACTTAATTTCAAACAATCACATTTATTAAGATGTAAAGAGTTATATGGTGAATTACTAATTATCAAATGAAAGATCTTAAAAGTCTAGTTTTCATCGCTTCAAAATTTCTCTTATTAAATTTGGACTTTTATACATAAGGTTATGGACTCATTCCCAGAGAAATTAGAATAAAAACTGGCCTAGACCTCTGTCAATTCTTGAATTATTAAGAAAATTCTCAAATTTACATAATTGTATCATTTTTTTTCTTTGGATTTCTTCATCTTTATATCGTTTTTGTCCTACATACTAAAATATGTATATAATATTAAATATAAGGTGATATAGTTCGTGCACTAATAAGATAAAAATATAAAGTTATATGTCAAATAATAGTTAAATATATGCATTTTAGATCGGACATCAACATTCCTTGCTCTCTCACTTCACACCTCGGAACTCATCTATGTTCAATCAATAATGTATTAATCAAAATATAATTAATTAATTTAAAAATTAGTGATGAATTTCTGAAAATTAAGAGGCATTAAAAACATAGAAATTGAATTTATATTGGGTCCCACATATATGCATTATATATACACGAAACAATCTTCACAAACTGAGAAATTAACATTCAAAAGACTCTCTTCTCCATAAAGAAGAGAGAAAAATTTGCACCTTTAATTTTAGGTAAGATACTCTTTTTTTTTTTTCTCTATTTATATATGTCATCACTCTATAATTGAAGTGGATGAGGTCTTTATTTTTTTTAAACCCCAGGATAACCCGCAGTCGCTACAACCTCCGCCCTTCGGGTGAGCACTCTATGGTGAACACTTTGTGTGCACTGGGTAAACCCCCCACTATGTAATAGCCTGCAAACCACACAGGGGATGTAAACCGCACTAGGCAAGCCCTATGCGACAGGCTCGACTCAGAAGGCATTAAGGGGGGATCGATCCCAGGTCATCCGTGTGGATAACCACCCTCCAAACCAACTGAGCCATCCCGAAGGACGATGAGGTCTTTATTGTTAATGTTAAAATGAAAAAAAAATTGTCTTAGAACTTCTACCATGACAAATAATTTGAAACAATATTTTTTTCTAAAAATCACAACAAATAATTTGAAACAGATGGAGTATTTATGAGGGATTTATTTTATTACATTATTTTCTTATTATTTATATATGTATTGAAAATCTAGCTTCAACTACTATTACTTTATATAGTTATTTGATGATAGTGTAAGAAATTAAAATAATATATTTCTCTTGATTTGATAAAATGAACAAATAAAGAGGAAAATCTATTTTTAGTATAAGTTTCAAGTTAAATAGAACAGAGAAAATATAAAAAGAAATAAGTAAACTACTATACTTAAGACTCGTTTGATTGAAAACAAGTTATCATGAGATTAGTTAATATTTTAGGATTGTTATCTCACAGTTCAGAATTTGAAGAAGCAGGAGAACAAAAATGGAAAGTGATGGTAATATATTTGCTCCAACAACTAAAACTGAACAAAAGATAAATCCTCTACAAAGAATGCCATCTTCAAAGACACCTTTTACCATTGGTGACATTAAGACATAAAAGTATTAAATTTTTTACTATGAGGATTATTTGGTTTCAATTTTGATCATAAATTCAGGTATAAAAGTATTAAATTTTTTGAAATAAAATATATATATTTAAAATTTGATTTTAAAGTACTAACTCTTAATTAAATCAATAATTTTCTATCACTCCACAATTGGTGACATATATGCATTATATATACACGAAACAATCTTCACAAAGTGAGAAATTAACATTCAAAAGACTCATTTGCACCTTTAATTTTAGGTATACGCTAGTAAAACTATAGACTTATATTTGATTTGTGTATCAATTAGTAAAATTATATATTTATCCTATCTGTAACATCGGTTTATATAAAAAAAAATTATTTGAAATGTATCAATTTTGTATTTAATTGGTATATCAGTTAGTAAAGTTTCGTAAGTTCTCTTTAGCTTCAGCTAATTCCATTATGAGTGTATTCCTTTGCCTTGCATGCATTCACACAGGAAGCACAAAATATAAGTGCTGCTGCTAAATGATAGTCAAAATATGTGTTTTTAGCTTTATTGAATTTTTTTTCTCAAGAAAAATAACAATAACAACATATTCAGGGTCATCCCACAAAAGTGAAATTTAAAAAAGGTAAAAGTGTACGCAAATCTTATCACTATCATGGAGATAGATATGTTATTTCTGATAGACCTTCAAGCTTAAGGAAAATACAGACAACGCTCAACTATCTAATTAACCTCCTGTCCTAATTTGTGTCCTCCGTAACCTTGTATCTGAGGTCATGTTCTCCAAAGACAAAAAAAAAGTACAAGATATGAAAGAAATCAATTATTGAATAGTATTTACACAAAAAGCAAACTCACAAGAGAAATTATATATGTATTAGTTTCCTTCCCTAAATATTAGTAAATATTGTACAATACATCATCATGCCACAGTACTAGGGAACCAATGAATTAACCTCATTTGATTGCTCACTATATACTGGGACACAAAAAAGAATTTTACAAATGAGTTAAAGAAGAAAAACTGTAAGTGTCCTACTAACCCTCTAATTTCTGTTAAGAGTAATTGAAAGGGGAAAAAAAGAAGTTAGTAAAAAAGAAAATCAACCTTTACACAAGTTACACTTTCTTTTTCTGCAGTCTCCCTTTCAACTGTCGAATTTTCGCGTCTACTCTGGCTGTGAAACCAATCTTGGTCTTCTGTCTTGCTTTAGATCCTTCTCTCTTCCACATATGACGATCTTCAACGTCTTTCCTATAATATTTGATTTCTTGAATGATGTGATGATCCAACGGATTAAACGATCTTTGAAATGCAATGTGAGCTAAGTATGGCAGAGTGCACATCAAAGTTACTAAAAAAGTGGTGCACCAGTAGATTGGAGCAGGAGCTAGAGCTTCCTCCAGTATTCTGAACGCGTACTTAGAATAGATTGGTGCTATCCTTCCGTAGATCAAGAGGACTATGTACCAAGTAGCAATGCTTCCCCAAATAAGAATATGTTGTATCCATGTGAAATGGCTCATTGTAAGTGCAATCTGGCAGTTGATAGCCCATATGACACACGTAAACATTGTAGTGCCCAGAGCAGTCAAGTCAGCTGTCTGACCATCAGAACGGAAGGCTTGATCGTAAAAGAGGATAATGTTGAGGAAGAAAATGATGAGGGACGTGTAGATACCATTGCCAAGCCACCCGAGTATTCTATGCCAGTCAAAGAACAAGTTTTTGGGACCTTGTTGGTACAGAGCTGGAAACTGCAGAACAATTTAGCAGACATGAACTCTTTTCGGAGGGAACGAGGATGGGAGATGTCTGTGTAAAAAGTCATTTTTTTAGAAACTAAGAGGAGAAGATATTCACCTTTAAACAAACATCAGAAGGCACATCCTGCTCGAATACTCCAAGTGCAATTACAGGCAATGACGTAAGAATGACGTTGAACAGCATCATATATGAATCATCATAGACAGACTGCCCCGAAAAGCCAGCAAAAGCCTCAAAGTAAAAGAGTGTGAGGCCAAAGCAGATGTTTTTGTAGAAGAAATAGCATATCTGAAAATGCACAAGATTACGGCGCAAATCAGAAAAATATATGTGCAGGATCCAGCTAGAATCACAAAAATAATTATATTTGAATCTGCTTTAGTGCATTTGATGTTACCAGCCACATATATTTCATCATCTATCTATAAAATGAAACAGATGTATAATCATTACCATCTGAGCTATTCGTTTGTAGCACCAATGCCCATGTACAACAAGAAGTCTCTCCAGGTACCGGAACTGAGCAATAGAAAAGTCACTCGCCATCACAGCCTGCAACGAAGCTGACTATTATATAAAGCCCAATTACAGTATCAAAGAGGAACTGAAACAAGACTTGTTTTCCAAGCAGGAATTTAGTGTGCTTCATTTCCTAGCTGATGTTTTATGATATGTATTTTTACTTCTGTCATTCTGTTTATATTATTAAGGCCCAAATGCCACTTAAATGCACCACCAACCTGCATTCCTTCTGCACCACTGATACCAACTCCGATGTCCGCTTCTTGAATCATCCCAACATCATTTGCACCATCACCAATTCCTAAGGTGATCTTTCCAGTTCCCTCTTTTACTAACCTAGTAACCTGATCCAAACCGATTGCAAATAAATGTTACTATGACCAATTAAATGGCTGAATAACCAAGAAGAACTGCAAAAGTCAATCCGGCATATCTTACCAAGGCCTTCTGCTTAGGAGATACACGACAGCAGATGACAGAAGCACAATTAACCGCCAAACTCAAAAATTGATGCTTCATATCATTCTCCAACGCATAAGCTAGAGTTTTCCCATCGATGATCAAGGCAAATGCAGCATGAGGATCCTTTTCATGTTTGATCATTTGAGAAGCATTCATGATTTGCTTCAAAATGTTCTCCCTCATAGCCTAACCAGTAAAAAAATAAAGCAATGGAGACTCCATCAACTACAATAAATTTCCCAAGGAATATATTAGCATGCTTGTTTTAGAATTGCCTACCAGCTTAGAATCTTGGGCCACTGAGTCTGCATTCATCGTAGTTATGCATATCTGTTTCATTCCTTGTCGAAGCAAACTACATGCATAGCTGCAAGGAAACACGAATTATACTTTAGCAGTTAAAAACCAAATGACTAAATAAGTATGAATGGTGGAAGGCATTTCTCTTTTTAGGAGACAGACCCAATGTTGATGGCTGTTTCCATCTTATCACCTGTCAGTACCCAGATTTTGAGACCAGCTTGCGCTAGTTTATCTATGCACTGAGGAACCTGGTCAAAGGAAAAAGACTGAATTAGTCAGAAACAATAGACGTTATGTGCAAGAAATTATATTTTGAATTTTGTAACAGCATAAGTTACATACTCCCTTCTGTAGTTTATCCTCCACAGCAGTTGCACCAACAAGGATCAAGTCCCGTTCCATCGCATCAGATACCTTTTCAAGCATGGTATCTCTGTCACCGCCAATGGTAGATTTTGCTTTAGAAAACTCCTCATTCCAGGCTGAATACTCTGCCTCGTCAAGCTTTTTGTAGGCAAGCACAAGTGTACGCAATCCTGCTTCACCATATTCATTTAAATGTTTTGTCATAGCTTCCTCAAACTTCCTTCCATTCTTTGATAATCTCTCATAGATGATGCTGCATAATCCAAAAAAACGTTGAAGTTATATATTAAAAAAATTTCATAGACCATTTGCATAAGCTTTAAGAAATAGCCAAGAAGAGAGATTCTCATAACTTTTACTCCCTCCATTTCGATTTGTTTGTCGTAATTTCCTATTTAGTCCGTTTCAAAAAGAATGTCTCTTTCCTTTTGGGCAACTCTTTGATTTCAACTTTCCACGTGGCATGCACAAGATTAAAGGACATTTTGGTACATTTTACATGTATTTAGTTTTAAGATCACAAAATTCAAAGATCTTCTTTACTTTCTCAAACTCCGTGCAAAGTCAAAAATCAGACAAACAAATCAAAACGGAGGGAATAAACATATTGTAATTTACAGACAATGTAACAGCTATTTCATAGCAAAATAGTCACTTAGAGCACCTACTTTAAAGGGATGAAAGAGCAGATGCAAAGTTCATAATAACAAAAAGGACATAGGAGGAAAAACCTGTCTGCTCCTTTACAGAAAAGAAGAATCTGGCCACTCTCATCCCGAACTATAACAGACATTCTCTTCCGCTTGCTGGTGAACTCCAACAGATTGAGAACTTTGAATTCCCTAAATTAACAGTAACACTATGTAAAGTTAGAAAATAGTATCATACTACAAGCAGTATTCAATTGTTGAGAGCAAGTTATGAGTACTCAAGACTGTTTCACCGTTCAATTGGCTCTTGAAAAGAAGGATATCTCTCCCGTACAAAAATGCTTGATTGAGTTCTTCTACAAAACTCAAAGCCAAATTCCCTTGCCGCAACAAGAAATGCTGCTTCATCAGGTGATTCTGCTTCATAGTTAAAGTTTCCAGTCTCCTCGTTTAGCTCGGGAATAGCAGAATGACAAACTGAAAGTATCCTAAAAAATAACAAGATGTCATTTACATTTGGCTCATTCATCCAATGTCCATCCGTAAGGCGATCATCCTCAAAGCTGAAACCCTTAATTGCAGGTTTAAAATCATCTTTAGAAGTGACGACAGACTCTAATTCAATTTCTGATTCACCAAAGTCATTCTCATTTTCAGGTCTCGGCGATCCAATATAATGCCCACCAATGTCCGCAGCCATCTGCTTTGCAGCTGCAAGTTCTACATCACTGGCACGCATTCCATATGCAGTACCAGCAATTGAGCATTTTAAGAAATCCATTTGGTTGCATGTCAAAGTACCAGTTTTGTCTGAGAGGATGGTATCAATCTGCCCCAACTCCTCATTTAAGTTTGATGTCCGTGCTTGAGCAGGAGTTCCAGACTCATCATCGTACATAAGTATATCCTGGTTTATGAACAACGCCTGTAGAACCTTGACAACTTCAATGGAAACATAGAGGGATATCGGAATCAGATACCCGTATAATATAAGTGCAGTGATCAGATGCAAAATGCCTGACACCTCAGGCTTCTTTGGATCAACCACATTATTCACTTTGTTCATAGGTTGCAAATACCACCAGTTTGGCAATTCGAATTTTGCATCAACGGCAAAGCCAATTGAACTGGCAAATGAGATCGCGAGAAGGACAAAGAAAAGTAGGTAGATAATCTTGTCCATCTGTAGTTCAATCCTACTCCTTTTAGAAGGAGAATTTGTCGAATTCTGCATAACCTTGCTATCATGACCAGTAAATACAGCAACTCCATAGACATAAGCTGTATTCCTAAGCTTTGAATCCCTGAGGAGAATCTGACTAGGATCGAGAGGATAAACCTGACGATCATATTCAAGATTTCCCACAAAAGTGTAAAGGCTAGGATTAGGATCTTCACATTTTATGGTTGCACTGAAATGCTTGAAAGCCTCATCATCCTCTAAAGGTAGAGCAACCTCCAATGCTCTTTTTACTTTCAAGTTTGTCTCTCCATCTAAGTTCATAGTTTCCACATAACAGATTCCATCTTCATAACTGGACGATAAAAGAAGTAAATCAGCCGGGAAAAAATGATCCTTCTCCACTTTCACTATGTCTCCAACCTGAATCTTCATCCAAGGCTTAGGACCAAACACACCACCTTCCTTATGTACACCAACTTTCCTATGATTGACCTTCATATCCTGTACAAACCTCCGTGAGTCTTCCAACGCCTCCTTCGCCATACTCAACCCAACCACAAAGACCAAAGGAGCTACCATACTAAAAGCTGAGAATGGTGAAAGGTTTGTTGTGGCTGATACAATTGCAGCCATGAGAAAATACAAGTTAGCAACACGCCTGAATTGCTCGAATAACGCCTTTGGTAGGAATGTAATGATGTTGTACTTTGTGGTGGTTACGTAATTGGTGCAATACTTGAGAGGTTTCTTCTCATGGAGATAAGGCTCATTGCAATGTACTTCTCTTGAGAATCCAGGGCCTAATTGATGAGGGCTGCCATCTTCTGTGGCACGCGATCGATAACAAGCAAATGTATGCAAACTGCTCCTTCTGATCTTTGCCCTTATCCTGCCTCGCGCCATTCTTGTTTTCCCTCTCAAGCAAAGCCTTAATCAGTTGCATCACCACATGATAAAACTTTCCAAAAACCAAAAAAAAAAAAAAATCAGCTATTTTTTATTTGAATTTTTGGGATACCCAGAGTAGTAGTAATTAGGCCATCCTCATTCAAGCATCCTGTTTTTTTTTTTTTTTTTTTTTTGAATTTTGGGATACCCCAGAGGAATTAGGCCATGCCTGTAACAGAAAAGGTGATATAAATTAACCACAGCTCATCTAATTACTAACATCAAGATTATAACCTTTTTTTCTTGAACAAATTTGAGTCTACCTAAGCATATTAAGCACTAAATTCCATCAAGATTTAATTTTTACTGCATATTTTGCCAGCAGTTTGAACATAACAAACATAAGAGCCATAAAAACAAGAAACAGGGTATAAAGACATTTCTTCAATATCTTCAATTAAGAACATGTTTCCTCAATAACTATTCATTTCCCTCACAACCCATTTCAAGAAAAGGTAGAAAAATCTTAAATTTTTACTGCATATTAAACTTTCTTTGAAATATTTCAGCTATTTTGCCAGCATTTTGCACATAAAAAACAGAAAAAAACAAGAAACAGGGTATAAAGGCATTTCTTCAATATCTTCCATTAACAACCTATTTCCTCAATAACTATTCATTTCCATGGAAACCCATTTCAAGAAAAGGTAGAAAAAGGGTACCTGAAAAAGGGTACCTGAAAAAGGGTACCTGAAAAAGGAAGGGCTGAAAGAAATGTAGAAGAGAGAAGAATGTTTCTTGAGATCAAAACGATACAGAGAGAGAAACAAAGAAAGAAAGAAAGAGAGAGAGAAAAGGACAATGAGGGAGGAAGGGAAAGAGTCTGTTTCTCTCTCTCTCTCTCTCTATCCCAAAGTCCAAAGCAATGCCAGTATTTTAGGAGAAGCAGAATAGCTTTAACATTTAATTAAACATACAGGCCACAGCTTCTTGTTTCTTCTTCTTCTTCTTGGTATGGACATGGAAATCACTGCTTTTTTTTCGGAACTTTTAGTTGGATTTGTTTTGTTTTTATTATATGCTCTTCCTCTGTCTCTGCATCTATGTGGCATTTTTGGACTCAACACATAAAATTATGCCGACTATATTGGATAAACCAATGCTAAATCTTTAAAGCTAGCTTTTGGCCATAGATTCTCAAATATTTTTGCCAACTTATTTTAGTGAAATTTTTTCATCATAAATTTTAAAAGAAAAATATTTGACATTTAAAAAAAATATGATATGTATTACTTATCATTTTATAATGAATATATTTCATAAAAAATCACGTTAACAAACATACCTAATATGAATCTGGAAAAAAAAAATCATTGATTTGTATATGTAAAATTGATATTATAACTTATAATTGGAAGTGACTTTGGCGATCAGACCCAAATAAAAATTGTATAAATTATGTACAAAATAATGAGTGATTTTATGAAATATAAATGTTTGAGATAATTTTTAATTTTTTTAAAAAAAAAAATCATAAAATTTAGCTCAAATACTTATTTTTTTTAGTATTTAAAGATTTGAATTATTTGTTAAAAGTATTTACCAAATAATATTTGCTTTAAGTTTTTTCAAATATATTTGAAAATATCGATGGCCAAATGGGTTATGGACGGTTGTGCTATCTGTCAAATGCCAATACCAGTGCTCCTCAAAAAAAAAATGTTGTTATTTTCCTAGTCTTATTTTATGTGGTATTATTTACTTTAGTATTGTATTTAAAAAATAAATATTTTATGTGATATTATTTAATTTAGCATTGTATTTTTAAAAATGAAATTTGCAGTTTATAATAATCTTTAAATATATGAGTGTGTATAATTTTATTAAAAGTAGAAAGAGAGTTTTAAAATTAAATTAACTTTAGTTATAATAAAGTAACATTATTTTTTAATGTCACGATCCAAACCGTCGTGATTGACACCCACACTAATCCTCCGGTGGAAAAACCACTACCACAACCCGATTAAGCAATTTAAAGAAACTAAACCATTAAACATTACGGAAGCAGATTTAAATGATGAATTAAGTACTGAGTTCCCATAAACTCATAAGGTTTAACAAAAACAACCAAACATAAACCTAGCGGAAATTCAACCCCTAGACCTGAAAGTTATTGTACCAAAACTTTACTAATCAACAAATCTAAAAAAAAGGGGGTGCAACTCCGAAAACTAAACATAAGTAAAAGTCTAAATATATATAGTCTGAGTCCGAAAGGAATGGACATAACTAATGATAGATCCATGGCAGCCTGAAAGAATTGGTTCACCCTCAAATCCGGTCTCGGTCAATGATCTCCTAGCTGAGGTCTGTCAGTAGGCGCTTGAAGATGCCTTGTACTCAACGAAGAAAGAGCAAGTGCAGTATCAGTACACGAAACAACGGTGTACATGGCTACTCCAATAAGCGAATTTTAATTATAATAATGTGACATTATTTTTTGAATCTTTAAAAAAAAAAAAGATATTACGCGTAAAATAAGACGGAAGGAGTATCTATTATTTTTTAATTTGATTATTGTAATTTTTGTTTTGTTATATGTTCACTTTCCTTACTTCTTTTCTTATTAGACTACTTTAGATTGTTTTTTCAAGACACTATTAAATATAGTATCGTTATCTTTAAAATAGGATAAGATCTATTTACGTTATACTTTCTTAAAAACTCATTTTATAAGACTATGTTAAATACTTTATTGTTGTGTAGAGTCTTTAGCTAAAGAGTGATCTATTGGATCTGATCTATTTTGATCCTATAAATGTAACTCTTAAAGCATTTTTAGTTTTTTCTTTAATTTACTAAAGTATAGTACGTTTGGTTTAATAATTAATAGAATGCACTTAAAAGTTGATAGTGACTATCACTATTAAAATCACGGCCAAAATTGATTAAATCAATTAAAGAATCGACACACTTGATCGATTTGATTCCAATTTTTTTAATATAACAAAACGAAAAATTTCAATCAAATTTTCTGTACAAATATTAATCAAATTATATAGTCTGATTTTTAAAAAATAAAAAATAAACAACTAGGTTTGATTGATCGATTTTGATAGTACTTTTAATTATATTTTATGATATCGTCGTTAGAAATTAAATTCTTTATATTAATTAGATCAAAGGTACTTTATTTTTATTTATTTTTAAAAAGGTACTTTATTTTAGCAAATTTAAATTTAAATTTAAAGATGTTCAAAGTTTATTTCAAAAGATAAAGTAAACTTTACCCCAATATATATGGGACAATTTTAACTTAAAAAAACCATACTTTATATTGGGTCCCTTTAATTAATGAGTTACTTTTTTGAAAACATGATGAATTATTATAAGAGACTTAAGTCTTAAGGTTTATAGATTCGAGAATGCAAAAAACTATTACATCATCAAGTAGCGTGCAAACAAAATAACTTTCACTTTTTAAAGTTGTGATTTTTTTCAATTATTAACGTAAATGTTACTTATATTTTAACTAGCATTTTTTTAAAGTAATTTTGTTAGGTTATTTATATATTTTATTATAATTTTTGTTAATTGTTTTATTCTATTTTGAAATAATTTTTCTTGAGCCGAGGATTTATCAAAAATAATTTATCTATTTTTAAAATGATGATAAAATCTGCATACACTCTATCGTCACTAGACCTAATTTTATGGGATTACAGTGAATATATTTTTAATATTATTGTATTCTTGATAATAATTACTTGGTGGTCTATTTGTTCTTTTTTCTTGTCCAATAAAATAAATAATTGTAGTTTACTTTAGCAAATTAAGAAAGAATTTTTTTTTTATATATATATACTAGATATGGTACGGGGTCCAATATATGTTACTGTTTCTGTTTCAATTTATGTTGTACATATGAAATTTGAAATTAGTCAATTTTTTAGTATGTTTTTATATATTTTAAGTTGCTAATTATTTTTATTTAGAGTATGTTTTACGTAAATATATTATAAATCACAATAATTAACAAGTTAATATAAAAAAACTTATAAAAAATTCATTGACTTTTGAAATTTCATTTGTATCGCATAAATTATGACAAAGCAAGTAATATATATGAAAATTACATAAAATGTACTATAACTCACAATAATTAGCAACTTAAAATATCTATATATCTATATTTCTCCCAATTTATGTGGTATAGATGAAATTTTGAAAGTTAACAAAAACTTTTTATATGTTTTCAAATATTTTAAGCTATTAATTATTATGATTTATAATACTTTTTACATAAAAAATTTATTTATATAAAGTATAAAAGAAAAAATTTAAAAAATGAAACATAAATGTCAGCACGAGTCCAATCTATGTTAATTTCTATGTTTTAATTATTGTAATACCGATTGAATTTGGAGAGTCAACTACATTTTTTAAAAGGATTTTTTTATAAATTTTAAGTTGTTAATTATTATAATTTATAATGTTTTTATTTATTTTAAACCAATATATATTTCTCTCTGTCTCAATTACATGACACATATGGAATTTGGAGAGTCAACTAAAATTTTAAAATATGTTAAGTTGTTAATTTTATACCTTATAGTACTATTACATCATTTTCAAATAAAATATGTAATTTTTTTTATTTCAATTCATGTGTCATTGATATAATTACATATATTAAGTAATAAAGAATTAATGTCTAAATTATGTGACACCTATGAATTTTGGAGTGTAAATCAAATTAGTTATATGATTTTAAAAAAATAAAGCGGTTGATTATTACAATTTATAATATTTTTTATATTTTTTTAAAATGATATATATATATATATATATTTATGATATTGATATTAGTATTATAATAAATTAAATTTTATTATTTTTAAATTTATGATCTCAATTGTCAGTCTATGCCACATTATAAAACGTTCCAAAGTAGATATCAGATTTACAAAAATGTCGATGCCAGCTAAAGTAATAAAATAACATCTAAGGGCATGAACCTATATATATATATATATATATATATATGTATATATAAAGCTGAATATAGACAATCTGATGTGGCACCTCTCTATGGCCAACATTTCTATTCATCTTTTTTCTCCTTTTTTTGACATTTTATCTTTGTTTTGTATTTTTTATTTGTATTTTAAAAAAAAAACTGAAAGTATTTATGTCATACCCAATTAATTATGCCTTTTATAACATCCATTACACTAATATAGATTTAAGTAAATGGAAATGGAAGATGAAAAGATAAAAACTATTCGTTTTTCATAACTGTTTATAATTATTTAGCCTATAAAATAAAATAAAAATAGTTGAACATTTGTAACAAATAAGAACAAATTTGTTCACTTTGGCTCTTCTTCTTTTGACGATGATGATGAATATATGGTATCAATTTCTGTCGCTAAGATGTCCATCAAATTTCTAGGTTATGTGACTTTTTTAACAAAAGAGAAAGAGAGAATATCTCATGATTCTTGTGAAGACATTGATGTAAAAAAAGAGATCATGTAACAAAAGTTTCTCTTCAAAATAAAAGACTTTTTGAAAAAATGTTTATTCCTCCTACAAGGAGAGAAAATTCATTGTGGTTGAGAAATTTATAAGAAGGTTGATTAGTGTTTCAAAGGGTAAGAAAAATTATTTGGAGAAAAAATCATTTTATTTATGAAATTCGTATCAAATTAGGAGGAGTACAAGCAAAAATTTATTTTGTGATTTGAAAAGAGAGAAAATTAGATATTATTTCTTTCAACCTCATTATTCT